TGAAATATAAATACCGTTATTGTCTGAAGCATGTAAATGAACACCGTTACCCTCTGAACTGTGTTTTTTCTTCCCTGTGAAATTAACATTTCGATCGATTCCCGTAAGAATAACACGTTCATCAAATTCCATCTCCATTACACTTCCTATTTGTTTGTGATTCCTGTAAATCAGTGAAAAGTTAATGTGGTCGCAACCATGTTTCTTCACATATTAACAGAACTGTCAGTAGTTCAGTAATCTATATTCCAGCTAAAATTATTATATTTTGACTTGTGTAAATGTAACGATAATTTTAGGTTCCCAACAAACAATACTTATTTCATGTCATTTAATATAATAAAGTTTTGTCTATTTGTTTGATAATAGCATTATAAACTTTCAGTCTCTGAAATAATGGCTCCTCTTGAATGAATAAAATTATTGAAATTAAAGTCATATTATGCTTGCTCGTAATTATTTGAAATCTTGAATGGAACCACTAAACGCTAGTAAGTTTCTTTGCAAATAGAAAATTTAAATATTGCCACCTTAGTGCAGTAACGGGTTAATTCCTAGTAAATTATATAAGGAGTTAACCCGTTACTGCACTCAGGTGAATGTATATGGTAAGCAAGGGGTATTGGCCTGCCACCAGGACTAGCAGGTCAGAGCCAACACAGAGTACATACCCATACAATCCGACCAAACTCTATACTGCTGTTTGTGCTACCTTAAAGGAACTCCACTGAGGTTAATAAGCCTAAAAACATAAAATTTTAATTTTTCACATAGATCAACATGAGCACTGATAACAGAAATATAATAAAATATAACTAAGTGACATACAATAAAAACATTAAAAGATATGTTTGTGCTATTCTCTGTCCGATTCGAGTAAAAAGCGTTTAAACGCTTTTCAATTTTGGGTCATTTTTCACTATTATATTTATTATTTTGGAAAAACGGAACGAGCTAATGATCTGAAATTTTGCACATAAGTTATTAGTATAGATCTACATCAAATAGAGTTATAAACTTAAAAAAATGTCCAGTCCTATCATGTCAAAAAACCTCAGTGGAGTCCCTTTAATATGTTGATTACTTACATGCGATATTCCAAAATCAAAGCACGACAAGTCCTTTTTTCAGGACAAAATTGTAACATAGCATATATAATTATTGATCAACAACATTGTGTTTCATTTATAGCATTTAAAATATGTAATTAAAATTAAATACAATAGGGAAAAAAGTCATTAAATATAAATATAAATTATATCATAACATTAAATGAAATATTAATATAACTGTTAAATTTAATCATATCTAAAATGTACGTACCGTGATCGCTGGGTGGTTCCGATGAAATGCACAAAATCCTTCGAAATAAATCTTTAAAAATAAATCAAATCATTTTATTATAATCATATACTGATGATGCTTAAACCCGCTCGAGAGCACTTGATTACAACAGAGGTGTTTGAACAAATATCTCAATAAAACGAACGTTCCATACCTAAAATGTTTAATTGCATGATAATCAATAAACTCGTTGTTGTATATAGTTCTGCACTGACGATAATTGAAATGTTCTGTATATATGTCCGCGTTCTTTTCAAATATATAATTTGCATTTCACAGTTTCGCCTGTCAACGGACAATAAATTATTCATGTCACAAAATAACACGCGTTTTACAATACCTCTACAAAGATATTAGGTTCGGTTTTAGACAGTTTAAGTTTGACGATACACAAGAATTTCTTTGCCCTTCTGTTGATATGAATTATGCATGGTATCCAGTTTTCTATGTATATGATGTATAAAACTGGGAAAACAGCCTTAATTAGTAATTACTGTGGAAGATACAGTAATATGTGATAACAATGAGCACCGATAAGGGATGGTGATGCCAAGCAAGGGGTCTGACCTTGAAGTCGTCACTACGCAACTGAAGGCTCATTTTAACTACTTTCATACAAGTTCAATTAATCTAGATCTAAGTCTTTTTTCCGAAGCAAATTAAATTGATATAGCCTAATAATTACGTAACATTTTCAACGTGCAGTATTCTACACGTCAGTTATGAATAAGATTTAACCTAGTAAATTGGTGTAATGAATTTGCATTCATTTTTAAATTCAAACAATACATTCTAGCTTTAAGGGATTTCAATATTAAGAAATTGAGCAAGGGATTTCAATATTTAGAAGGAAAAAAAGAGCCACCACCAGTACAGATCCTGGTCAAATCGGACGAACGACTGGTCTTTCTCTATACTAGTGGCAAAGACTACTCATTTTCGGTTCCGGCACGGGTTAAACGCTTGTCTAACGATTAACTATGTTATTTTTAGATAAATCGTTTCATTTACGTTATTGTCAAATCAAAAGTATTAAGATGGAAAATTAAATTAATAATACATAAACAAAAAGGAAATCCCTAATCTACAGGTCCACTTTTTAAATCTAAAATTGTATATCGGACAATTCGTTTGCCGTTCTATTTTCAGACACTACGAACGTTACTGGCGCGTGATACTAGATGCACTTTTTGTGCCACCACTTTAGGGGGAGGGGGGGGGGCGTTTAGATTAATCCTTGTCCGTCTGTCCGTCCATCCGTCTGTCCGTTCTCATTTTGTGTCGCATGTAGCTCAAAAAGTATTTGACCTGGAGTCATGAAACCTTAAAAGGAATGTTGCTCAGCATGTGAAGTTGTGCACCTGCGTTTTTTCTTGTGTATCCATTCTGTTTTATTAGAGTTATTGCCCTTGACTTAGTAGAAATTTGCAATTTTAACTTGTGTCGCACGTAGCTCAAAAAGTATTTGATCTAGGGTCATGACGTTTTACAGGAATGTTGATCAGCATGTGTAATCATGCACCTGAGTATTTTCGAGTTGATATATTTAGTATTTTTAGAGTTATTGCCCTTGACTTAGTAAAAATGTACAATTTTCAACTTGTGTCGCAGGTAACTTAAAAAGTATTTGACGTAGAGTTATTACACTTTACAGGAATGTTGGTCAGCATGTGAAGTTGTGCACCTGGGGTATTGATTGTGGATTTATTTTGTTTTGTCAGAGTTATTGCCCTTGACTTTTTACAATTTCAACTTGTGTCGCACGTAGCTCAAAAGGTATTTCACATAGAGTCATGAAACTTAAGAGGAATGCTGATCAACATGTGAAGTTGTGCACCTGGGGTTTCGCTTGTGAATTCATATATTTTGTTATAGTTATTGCCCTTGACTTACTGAAAATTTTCAATTTTCAATTTGTGTACTGCGTAGCTCAAAATGTATTTAACCTAGTGTCAGAAATTTAACAGGGATATTGGTTAGCATTTGTTGTTGCGCACCTTGGGTTTCGCTTGTCGATTTATCCAGTTTTATCCAGAGTTATTGCTCTTGACTTAGTAAAAACCGTTTCATTATGTTGTGTTATTTGTTCCTTGAGTGCTTGAGTAAAGATCAACCAACTTTACAGGAATAATGATCAACATCACTGTGAAGCTGTGCACCTGGGATTTTGCATGTGGATTTTTTCAGTTTTGATAGAGTAATAGCCCTTGACTTATTATAAATTTGCAGTTTTCAACTTGTTCATGCATAGCTCAAAAAGTATTTGACCTGTAGGCCTGAAAGTTTACAAGAATGTTGGTCAGCATGTGTACTTATGCACCTTGGGGTTCGCTTGTGGATTTATTCAGTATTTGTAAAGTTCTTGCCCTTTACTTAGTAAAAGATTTTTAGTTTTCAACTTGTGGCACATGTAGCCCAAAAAATATTTGACCTAGAGTCATAAGATTGACAAAACAGTGGAGTGTGTGGGCACCCGTGTCCTATATATGGACACGTTTCTGGTTCTGAAATACTTAGTTTGAAACAACACAGAATTGTTTTTCCAACAGAAAATAAAAGCTGATTACCATTATTTAACAAGTAATAACTTCTGAAGATGGATGTTTACATTATATATATAGTCACGTGAATTACTTCAAATAGTTGCTTTTTACACCGACTGGTTTATAGTGAATTGGTTTACATTGTGCATATTTTCCATTTGTATGAAAAGAGTAGATATGCATCGCATGGATATTCTTGTAAAATATAGTGTAACTGTTTATACAGTTCCATGTGTTATGGTATAAATTATTATATGAGGAATATTAATATTTTGTTCTTGAATAATTTATTATCTGCCATATAAATATGAATCTTATGTCATATCGGAATGTGTATTTCATACTTACCAGCAACATCCATAAATAATTATTTCATAGTTACAGTGTGATATTGAAATACTTTCAATATAATTATTTACGGTATTAAAATCTTCCATTATGGACCAATGCACTTTAAAATCTGATGAGTAAGTATAATGCATACAGATACTTACTTGTACAGCAAAGCAAAAAAGCCTTTAATATTCGCAGTTAGAGGCCTTGAAACAGCGGTTGTAAAATCAGCTCATTACGCAGAAAAATGTTTGCATGGTTAAGTGAACAAGACTATTTTTTTAAAAAATCTTGACCAATGCTTAAATTTAAGAAGCATAACACCGGTGGGCTTTTATCACTTGATAAATGGGTTGTTTCCCTTCTTGATCAGGCTACTAAAATTGTGGGACGCTAATTAACTCACAAAATAAAATTCAGACAAGTACATAAGCTCTCCTCCTCATTTTCACCTTGTTGATATCATATAAATTTAATTGTATTGAACACATTCGTGGTTTATATAGCTTACTTTTATAATCTTTCAGTTTAATTTTATCCGGAAAAGTAACGGGAAATAGGACAGATTTTAAAGAAAACTAAGAACCGCTTAACACTATACAAAAAGAGAGAAAATAATTCTCATATGTCATTGTAGATTTAAACTATTTTTACGCTCGTATATCACAAATTGGTGACATATTAAGATAAAATATGCACATTTAAACATTATTTTTCTGTCATAGGCTGCGTTTATTGGTAGTCTAAATTTTAATAATCCGCGTATTAATATCGTTGACATGTACATGCATGATTGTTTATAAATGGCTGACAAGGTGCGCATGGATGAGTGACTGTACAGTTGATCAACTGATATTTCGTGAATTCTTGCCAAAAATGCGGGAGGATACGACAGATAAGTTCTTATCTAAATAATAACACACAGTTGGGCTGTGTGTTGGAAAATGGCCTCCCCAGACACGCCAACACGGCTTTTGGTGAGTTTGCAACATTTTTCTGAAGATAATCTGATAATTGTAAAATTTAAAAATATAGGAAAAAAATAAATGGAGATATAAGCATGCCTTGAAAAACGCCATTTTCAAGTGTGTTTACAATTTTTAGAGTATGCAATATGTTAAGTTATGATAAAATGATGTAGGCCTATTTTTATAAACTGCAGTCATGCATTATTCTTAATTAAGCCTATTTTTAAGGGCAATTTGATAGATCTATGTTTAGTTGAGAACAACATTGCTTGTTAACTATTTTATGGTTGCTCAAAGCAGCCACACTCCCTATCACACAAAAGAAAATTATGTAGAATTATAAGAAATGAAAGCCTCTGTTTTTCCCCTGTGTTTTCTGTCAAAGAAAGCTTTTCGGCTACTGTATGTTGTTACAGAAAGTCAGAAGTTCTACTTCATAAGATGTCCTGACTCTTGTCTGGAAGGCATGATTCTTACTCTACTGATAATTTTATAAGGCTTGTCAATTGCAATTCTTGTATAACTATCACAGGGACAGTGATTTGGTAGTTGAGAAATCAGTCATGTTTTTACCGTGCAGCCACAGGCGCTTGGGGGTCAGATCCTGTCCCCCAACGTGATACGCCCCTGTTAACACTAGATATCAAAACTATTTTAATGTTTAAACACATATAGGACATCTATTACAACTATAAAAATGGTTTTCAAACAATAATTTTACATATATTGTAAATACTGTATACCATCAAGTGAGACTTAAAATAGTTTTGATAGAGTGTTTACAGGGGCGTATCATGTTGGGGAGGGGGGCAGGATCTGACCCCCAAGCGTCTGTGAGTGCAGTGGGTATACATTTTCTAGTGCAAAAACTTGCATAATTGGATCCTTGATTTCACATGTAACCTGCTTGCATATAGTTTGCTAAGTTTTAGGAGATTGGTCAATGGCTTTTGCTCCCACTTTTTCTTTTTTAAGGTTATCTACTTGTAAACTTCTGGAATCTGCTAATAAATTAGTATTATTTTTAAAAACTGCTTTTGCTTATGACAAATTTCAAGCCAACTGAAGATGGTTTTTACATATATTGTGCTGTATACATCTAGATAAATGTCATTCCTATATGGCACTTATTAATTTAAATTAATTTCAAATGTATTTTCATCATCCATATAGTGAGTTTTTTTTCCCTACGATTTCTTTTAAGATTATTTAATGATCTTGTAGCATAATTTACCTTTTTATTAATGAAAACAAGTAATCTATATATAAATTCCTCTTATATTATCTTGGATATTACAATCATAATGATGTAAACCTACTTTATATTGGAGAAAAACTTTTAAGCACTTATCCTTAAAATTGTATTGTTGGAAAGTAACTGACATAAACATGTAAAAACAATATTTTTTTGAAGTTGAGGCACTTTCACCTTAATCTGATAAAACTTTTAACAAAATAAAAGATTTGAATGAGATGAGATATGTATGAATGAGATATGATTTGTATGAATGAATGATATATGAATGAGATATGATACATTTGAATGAGATATGATATGTATGAATTAGATTATGATCTGAATAAATGAGATATGATCTGAATAAATGAGATATAATATATTAATGATTTATATGAAAGAGATATGATACATATGGAAGAGATATGATCTGTATGAATGAGATATAATATATGAATGAATTATGATATATATGAATCAGTTATAAATGATTTGTAGATAGAATTTGAGATGTTAATCCACAACAGTTGTGAATTAAGAATAGGGAGAATAACACTCTTTCTAAATGTTATTTAAAATAATTTGCAGAGAAATTTGATTTTTGTATTATTGTATTTGACTGTAATAAAATTTTAATTCAAATAAATATAGATTTTAGATTTGTATGCTTTAAATTATAATGTAAAATTATTTTCTGATCACAGATTAGAATCGTTTTCTTTGTAGGATTTCAGTATTGACTTTTTTCATAATATATATATTTTTTTTGTTAATAGATTTTCTAAACAATTCAGATGTATACAAAAAAGTAAAAATCAGTTATAATTATTCCACTTAAATTTGGAAATTGATTCAATGAATAATAGATAAAAAATGTATCATATTGTACAGATATTGGTAGAATGCCAAAGTATTGTCAATTCTTTGTACGATACAACCTTTTTTTTCCCTGACACAATGTGACATAGTACGTATTCAGTATCATGATTCACAATCGGCAGTAAGATTGTAAATATTCACATTTTTGACACTGTAACACACTATACAATCCAATACTCGTTATTGATCACGATACAGCATGACACAAGACAATGTTTTAATTGTCAGATCTTACAAATAGTTATGTTTTTTTTTGACATTGTCCGAGTGTTTGGTTGTCTATGTTATTGATTAATTATTTAATTTTCTGACTGCTACCAGCATTATTTTTGTTGTAGTCGTTTGGCATTTTTTAAGTCACACCAACACTCTCAAGGTCATATGGTGCTTAATTGCATGTTTAAAAAAAAATTGGGTGTCCATCCAAGCACATTATTTTTTGTGTCAGTACCTATGAAGAACCAACCATCATAAATGTCTTTTCTTTACCACCAAAATATTGCCAGGCTTAAATGAGCATTATAAATTATATATGTAAAATCTGACCAGATTTTATACAGATAGCTTGTTCATGGTCTTAACATTTTGATATACCGGTATCTATTGAAATTCAAAGCAGAAAATGTCCACTTCACAACATATGCTGGGTAAAAGTAAAGGTATAGTTCACTGGATAGAATGTCACTTATATTAGAGGGAAGAAAATGTTGGCATCACAGTTACAAGTTTAACCTTCACTACCCAGGCTTTGTCTTACATCCTGCTTTGAATATAGAACTGTCTGTTAGAAACCGGCAGGATTTTGATGATTTTGATATAAAACATCAATATTTAGTGCAGTTAATTTAGTCAGTTGTAATGTGACAGCCCACCCACCAAATGGGCATGGGTACAAGTTTTTCAGGCATTTCCCTGAAGTTCAGGTTTTTTTATACTCCTGAAAGTACTTTCATACTACGGTATATAGAGCCAATTAAGATAAGGCTCAATTCATAATTTTCAGTCTTTCAGAAATTTTGAACTTGCACTCATGCATTGTAAGGGCAGACTGGGGTGGTAATTAAGGGACCTAAGCCAAATTTTAACCTTTATCCTTATCTATCACAGCACTGCTGGGTGAAAGGGATGATTTTGTTTTTGCCTGAAAATGACCAGGAATTTGTCCACATTGCAGTGCTAAAGGTTTTGGTAGGGATTTTACTTTGTGTCTCCCATTGGGAGTTCTTTACTAGGACTATAGAATGTGATAACACGTCTAAAGTAATTTCACCCAACTCTTTTAGTGGTTATTCAATCAAGACATGGTAGATTAAATTAAAGTTTTGCAAATATTTGTATTTAGGTGGGACATCTGGTCAAGATAGCAAAAGTACATTAATACTTATAGTTATTTTGGGGTGATGAATAACCTTTTATCATATTTTTTCCAAAGAACACACCTGGACAGATTGAACACATCAGATTTGATTTCAGTATGCAGACAGTTAAAGTAATAAATTATTTTAAAATTGTTAACTTTAATAACCTAACATTACTATATTGTCATCAAGGAATTTTAGAATTTGAAATAATATGTTTTTGATGACCTTGCTCTATCTATAGACAATTTATTTTGAAAAAACTGGTTTAAACATACAGAAGTTTGTCTATTGGGAGATCTATATTTAAGCTTTTGGTAGCCACAGATTTTATAAATAAAACATTTGTGTTTTTTTTTCGAGTAAGATAGGGACAAGATCAATATTGTGTTGAAACTTAGGTATAAAAGATTAGTTTGGTAAAGATTAGTTTATCTGTTATGCCACAAAAATAGAAGATAAATCATGATTTGTAAACATAAATTATGTTTGTTCTTTGGTTATTAAGGATTATGGACCCTATTAAGCATTTATGCAAGTCACTATTTTAGTATTTTCTCACAAATTGACATGATACCTCTCTGGTGCGACAAAAATATAGTTAAAATAGCAGTTGCAAAACCTACAGTAAGAAATTGAGAGCTTAACTTCGGGCTTATAAGGACATCACCCCAAATAAGTTGATTTTTAATACCATTTTATCAGGATTCGTACTCCTTACCACTTGGCCTGCTGGGGGCACATGATTGCAATATTTACCCATGCAACCCGTCTGTTCCATCTGATCATCATCTGCACTGTTTGCTATTCAGTCAGTAAAAAAAACATGTAAAATATTTTCATAAAAATGATGAACGGTTTAGTCCAGATTGAAATATGTGGATAATTAAAGTCAATTTAAAATATTAAGAGTGGTATTAGGGTCAAAAAAGTAGCAGAGATATTTTTTCATATTAGAATGCATTTGTATTTTAACCTGCTTACTTATGCCCATTTCTTCTTGTATTAGTATAGGATAGATCATGAGTACCAGTTGGATGTGAGATTTATCAACGAGCGAAGCGAGTTGATAAATCTCACATCCAACTGGTACGAGCGATCTATCTGACTTAGACCACAGGTAGTTTTCTCTGTTTAAGGTGAAGATTAAACATACGTAAACGATTTTTTTCTCCGACAATTGCATAGGGATATCCCAATATTTTTTACTTGATCTATTTGGCCTTATTGTAGGCAAAAAAGCACGAGAAAATGGCATAATTCATGTTCTTTCATAAGTTACTGAATACACAATCTTATGAATGATAGATTTCACATTCCATCACAAAGGTGCAGTGAGAAGAAATTTGGGAAGAATTTAACATTTCTGAATGTGATATTATTACAATTTTGTAAGTTGAGAGATTGTGTTGTTATTCCTGTTGATTCTGCATTTAAATGATAAAATGACATAACACCGTACACAGCGCTTGAAAATGAAGTCAAGAAGCAAAACTGCTTACCAAAAATACTCTTAGATAGAAATCATGGGCGAT